CAAGGCATCCGTCTGGCTAACTCGCCGAGAAGACTAAGGTCACATCAGTGGTTTATTTTTCAAATTTTTAAACGTAAACAAAAATAGGAAGAAACTTAATCAGCAAATACACGTGACAGCGGTGGGATTCAAACCCCACGCCCCCGAAGAGACTGGTGCCTTAAACCAGCGCCTTAGACCGCTCGGCCACGCTATCCTTACTACAGCAGGATAACACACGAAATAAAAATTATAAAAAAATTTGTGGATTATTAACAAGGGTTAGTAACCAGGGATAACCCAATAAATCATGTTATTAAATGTCTGGCTTATTTCCACGGGGGTTCTTTATCCCTCCCGCTGAACGACCCACACCAGTACCCTAACCCCCAGGTGCTACTTTTTTGCTAGCCGAACTGGGGCAGCAGGTTGTACGGAAACACGTCCAGAAACACGTCCATCGTTTCCACTCGTTTGGGGATTGTAACCCAGTCTCTGTGTGTGTGGGCTGAGATTGAATGTCCTCGTCTTTTCGTATTCGCCATTTAAGGTTAGATTTTTATTTGGCCTCTTGCATAATTTTAAACTTTTACATTGTTTCTGTATAGTAACTGAAGTAGATATTAACACCGAATGGCTCAGAAAAGGGTTAAACGATTGACTTCTAATTTCTATTGTGGGTATTAGTTGAGTTTCAGCTCCTGATTCCGCCTCTTAGTTTAAAAATTTAATAGTATAATATTTTTATTTCTACAAGTACTGTACAAGATATACAGTCCTAGCTGACATCAATGACATCTCTATATAGAAAAACCGCTTGTTATGCAAGTATTTCGGGAAAATTAAGTAGTTTTGGCCAAGATGCGCCCCACACCGGTAGGACAAACCCCCCATTTTACTGATGGGAACATAGACAACAGGTTTTTAAAGAAACAAACCCAGTGTTTCTACCTTCGCTGGGAATAGAATCCAGACCCTCAAATTGTGAATCAAGGCTTTACCCGCCAGCCACGAGGCAGATTAACGAAATCGTACTAACACAATTAAAAAAAAAAAGTCACAGTGGTTAACTCACTGGCCTGTAAGTTTTAATTAGGATCACTCCCCAGTGGCTTCAATATGTACCCGTTCCGTGCTTAAATTTTGACTGGCTCTTATACTGTTTTAAAGAGTCTGTCACAATTATTTTATCCAGGTCATTTTCCCCTGTATAACCCCTTCTGTGGCTCAAGAAATATCTTCTTGTAAACCTGTGGCACATGTTTTGCATCTTAAAACCCTTTACCCGGGAAGGGGCCGAGTATAGTCGGTCCTCATAACGTGGTTTCTTGCCACGTCCTCTGACTCCCCAGCGCATCCCGGTTCTCGTTCTCTATTTCTGACCAATCACAGACCTTCCCCGAGTCGCCCTGGCTGAGCGGTGATGGCGGGCTGCCGTTCCCCCTGGTCGGAGAGAGCAGAACATAAACATTTTCCCCTTTGCCGGCCCCAAAAATCTTTTTTTCTGGGTTTGAGTGTCCTTATATACTAAAGCATTTACCCATACAAGTCGGAAGTCTGTTTTGTGGTTTGGGAAAATGAATATTTTTACAATTTTTTGTATATATAAAAAGGGCTTTTGGAAGCATATTGAGTGCCCCTGAAATGAAAAAGGCAACAAAATGGCCCCAAGTCTTTGTTCCTCCCCTTTTGGTGCATTTTTAAGTTTCGGTAAAAAAATTTTTCCCAAAAATTTTGGTAGGTTTTATGGTTCAGTATGGTTGGGGTGTCAGAAGTTTTTTTTTGTCCTTCCCAGTCAATAAGATTTTGTTCAGGGGACCCCAAAGGGAAAAGTCGAAATTTGTTGGTTTGGGATGTGTGATCAGAAAAGGACCAGATGACTGGAAGTGGTGGAAAACTGATGATGATACTTGCCACAAGATGCAGAGGTGACAAAGATGGGAGGGGGGCTATGCCCCCACCCAAAAAAGAAGAATTGAAAAAGGGAAGAAGATACATGTTTACATGCAAGATTGCAGAACAAAAAATAATCATGTCAATCCCATTTTCCGTCCCACATCAAAGAAATCTACCCCATCAAAAAGGATAGAAATTGTTTCATAAAGTTTTGAGAAATTATGATGTAAAAAAGAATGTTCTTTCTCAGGGAATCAGGGATATTTAAAATTTTAAGTTGTATCCCATTGTAAAGGTCATTGTTTAAGTAGTTCCTATTTCTATTTTTTTACTGCTTACAAATGGTTAAGAACACATGTTTCAATTCATGTTTTTTATTTTGTCTTAACTTGCATAATAATTTTAAAAATTATTTACTTTGTTTTTATTTTTTACAACCAATGGCCAACCTGACATCATTCTAATTGTATACCCCAAACGGGCAGGACCGAATATACTCGTGTCGTTCGAATATCTGCAATTGCACGAGTTGTTACTTTCACAACTCCGTTTGGATGGTTCTCAGGGGACCTTTACATCGAGGTGGCTTCTATCTCCTCATTCGAAACTCACTTTCAAAATCTGCATTTTATCTGCCATGCCCTCTGAAGGTGTTAAAAGTTCCTATCCATGCCCGTGTTCCCGTTTCCTACCCTTGGAACAGTCTTCTCCCTCACCACTCTATCTGATCCATCGAAGTATACCCTTGTAAGTCCTAATCATGATTCCACTGGTTTTCTTATCCCACAGTGTAAACACAATTTCTTTGTGGTACAAAAATATTTTTTTTTTAATTAATCTTAGTTTGCATGTTTTTTACACTGGCAGGCACAAAATAAAGCACTAGTGGTGCAACAAAACTAATCCTAATAATAAAAACTACTTAAGAATTAATAAAGGCTAATTAAGTGTAATTTTCTTACATGTTTAGGAGAAAAAAGAATGGATCAGCAACAACTTCAGAGTACTATGTGTTATAATTTGCGATAGTTTCATACTAATATAAGTTTAATTCAAGCTTTACTTCCCACTTCGTTCACTACATATAGAAAAGGTCAACAATTTCCAAGGAATTCCCGGAAATAGGTGGGGGAGCTGAGCTGATGTACAGAAGCAAGTATCCAGGGTGGTTAATGTTTATTATTGCACAGTGAAAGTGGTTTAGGATGGACGGCAGAACCGAACCTTGGGATAAACTACTGAGGATTGCGATAATATGAATTCTAGAGACAAGCTGATGAAAAGAGATTTAGGGTAACAGGCAGGCAATATGGCAGCGGTAAATGAATTTCCAAAAGGTGTGGACAGAGTGCAGAGGACTTTATAAAAGGCCATAGGCAAGGTACTATTGTTTAAAAATCGAAGAGTACAACAATAACCCCAGAAAGCTCTCTGCAACAACTAAAACAGTTGGGATATAAGCCATCATAAACCATAGATAGCTCTAACATAAGTACTAAATATCGATAACGAGGTATGCACGAAACAACTAAAATTGGCAAAACTATTTTAATTCATATTACACACTGTCGCATCAGTAAACTACGCTGCATCAAATACCTTTAACACAGGACTCTTGATATGTTTTAAAACATACTATACCAATAAAGGGGTAAACCCCAAAACAATTGCCAAATAGTAGAATATCTAATGACGGAGTGCAAAAGAACAAGCAGCACACGGCCCTGATTAAACATCCCTGTCTAAGTTCCTACCTAGATGGTGCCTCTGAATTCGCCTAATCCCCATTCGAGCTCACATAATAAATCTGTCCATCACCACTAATAACGTAATGGAGGGGTTCAAGGAGGCCAGGAAATTACTCCTATATTTAAGAAAAATAGTAGGTCTGATGTAAGCAACTATTCGGACATCAGTATAACTCTGTATATCCCATTAATTCTAGAAGAGGTCAGTGTACTGTCAAGTAGTTAAGGTATCTTAATGGCAACAACATTCTTCATAGTTACCAATCAGGTTTCATGTGATCTTATTCAACTGACACCTCCCTAATTAATGTGACGAATTACATGGAGAACTGAAAATGTCGATAGGGAACTCATAGGATGGTTCCTTTTGGAACTTTAAAAAGGCCTTGGTTTACTGTCAGCCACGAGTATTATATAGAAACCTTCAAGCTATCGGCCATAGGTTCCATAGATTGGTATAAGTCCTATCTTAACAATAGGAACAAATTGTCAAAAACCACAACAACGAATCAGAATCCTGACGATCGCATGTGGAAGTTCCCATGGTGGCTATTCTGAGTCTCTTTTATTTCTATGTTTATGTAAAACGACATGACTCTTCACGTGTCAAGTGCAGACTCCTACTGTATGCAGATGACAGGAAACTGGTAGTGTCAGGTAAAAATTCACAAGTATAGCTAATGTAATAAACAATTGGAACTGGAGCTCCTGCAGCAAATGGTTAGTAGTAACCAACTCTCTTTCACCTCGGGAAAAACGGTAAAGCCATTATCTTTGGTACAAAACATAAACTGAGAAGGGTAAATTAATTTTAATTGTCCGTGTGTTATGGGGAATCACATCACTTCAGTTTCCTCAGTAAAATATATGCGAAATCCTTTGACCCTGCATGTCAGGAGAAACTGATAGGGAACAGTTGTAGTAAAGCAGCGCGTATACCAGACTGAAGTTCCTCTACAGACTAGGATAGTGTCTACCAACTGAGGCTGCAGGACTTATGTCTAGCCCTTATAAATATAGTCATTTGGGACTACCGCTTGCTCCTTCATGATTACTCTGCTTGCCAAAAAAACTGGAAGATTTAAACTGCGAATCCACCCAGAACAAAATGGTAAGATCTTCATCTGGACCTGGGTCCAAGAGAACATGTAAGCCAGGATGATTACCTGCAAAATTGAAATATGCTGAATGGTGAAGACAGAGTAAAACAACTGAAGTTAAATCAAGTTTATAAAATTGCTCACAAACAGTGTCCAGAATATCTTGCTGTCAATTTTATCAAGGCTGGGAGGGAGGGAGAGCACAACTTTGTAGTACCCACAGTCAGTGGTCAGGCTTCAAACACCTTTTTATTAACCCTTAAACTGTCCAAACGTAGATCTACGTTTTTTCAACATTTGAAACTATGTAAAAAAAGTAGATCTTTTTTTTTTTTTACATTTGAAGACGTGTAAAAAAACTTTGATCTACTTTTTTTTTTTGTTATATTTGAAAATATGTAAAAAAACGTAGATCTACTTTTGAAGCACTACGCATGTGAAGTAGTACTGCTTGGAATAGTTTTAAGGTTAAA